TGGGGGAGAGCCCAGGGCTGGGGCAGCAGGGGGTGTGGAAGAGCCCAGGACTGGGGCAGCAGGGGAGTGCAGGTGGGGGCCAGGGCTGGGGTGGCAGGAGATGCGGGTCGGGGGAGAGCCCAGGGCTGGGGCGGCAGGGGGTGCGGGTGGGGGCCAGAGCTGGGGCAGCAGGGGGTGTGGGTGGGGGAGAGTCCAGGGCTGGGGCAATACAGGGGTGCAGGGGGGAGCCCAGGGCCGGGGGAGGGGGCAGCAAAAAACCTAGAGCTGGCTCTGTCCCTACCATTTACAGCAAGCTGCAGATTTCAGTGCCATATTCCTTCCCCCACCCTTTCCTGTTGCTAGTGGCCAAGGGAATGCTGGGAAATGTAGTTCTTTCCCTGCTCTATAGGCAGGGAGCTAACCAAGGAACTACAGCTCCCAGGGCCCCCTGTTGGTTCTCAGCTCCCATGCTGGATTCTTGCGCCCCTTGCAAATCTGCCGCCCCAAGCAACTGCTTGCTTTGCTGGTGCCTAAAGCCGGCCCTGGGTGCTGTCATGAAATCAGGTGCAAAATCACATGCCTACTCATTTGCATTCAGACAGTAAGACGATTGCCACTCTATCATCTATATTACATCTAAAATTGTGCAATTAGAGTCATAGTTATAGAATTTTAGGCCAGAAGAGACCACCACAGCATCTAGTCTGATTGGTACATCACAGGCCAGCAACACCACCCAGAGTTTGCACACTAAATCCAAGAGCTGAAATTACACCAAGGAATTACAGCCCTTGGGAGACTAAACTCTAATTCTAATTATGCATGGCTTGATCCAAAACCCAATGACAATAATGGGAGTGTTTCATTTGACTCCAATGGGCTTCGGATCAGGCTCTAAGAGATGAAAATTGCAGTCAATGCACATTCTGACAAGGCCGATTAGTGCTGTAATATGAATAGTTTTGTTGAACTTCTGCGTGGAGGCTTTCATATTTCCATTCAGTTACCACCTGCTTTTCTAATATGTAAATGTAGCACTGCAGGTCTGTCATAACCAGGTAGTTAACTTATTGTTCTGCATGCAGTCATTTCCCATAAATGATCATAATACCACTGTGGATTTCAAGCGGCGAATAAAAGAAGGGTAGGGAAAGTTCTGTAAAAAGAAAAATACCCACAAATCTTCACCCAGATTTGAAAATAAATTTGAGTTAGTTGTAATTGCTTCCCTTTTGTGTTCACTCTCGATGACCTATCAAGAGATTGAGAGCTACGCAGATGAATGCTCCTGGAATGCAATTTTTAAGCTTGCATGCTTCAGATATTTTGTATGGAGGGAGACATCAGTTGACACAACTGAGTAACCAGTTTCTCAAAACCCCTGATTAGACTGTTGGCTCAGAGGCAGCTAAAGAAGTCAGCCAAGGCTCAGAATGGAGCTTTTTTTTTTTAAATTGGTAAAAAATTTTAGTGGTTGAGGGTTTTTTAAGTTTTGTAAAAAATTTTTCTACTTTGCCAAAACTTTTTTTTTTTTTCATGAAGCAATTCAAAACTGAAACATCCTCTTTCAATTGATCGGAAGAAAAAAAATGGTTTTTTCGTTTAAATATGATTTGAATTGAATCAAAACAAGTTTCTATTCTTTTCATTCAAAAACCA